AGTAAAATAATGACTTTTTATATCACAGGAGTTATTCAATTATTTTCGCCGATCATCAGGTGAAGCGATACTTTTTTTCCAGTGACTGTAAATAAAATTTTATTATTAATCAATTGGAAATTATTAACCATTAATTATTACTAACGATATTAATTAATACATTAGATTCTAGTAACAATAGTAAAATAAAGAAGCGATGAATGACTAATTTAATCTCCACTATAAATTTATTATTATATTTTTATTTCATCTGTATTTTATTTCTTATCTTGTAACAATATTTTGAAATAATAAACTTTTTACAATTTTTGATTCTTGTTAAATGGTGATATTGCAAGGTGTCGTTTTGGAGCACACTTAATGGTACCAGATAACTGTAAATAAGTAAATATGGCTCTTTGCGATGCCATAAGGTTCCTTTTATACATTTATGATCGATTTGTTTCAGTTGTTTTGCCCTTGTTTACATTTATTGACCGATTTTAAACTCTACTTACAAAACAACTCAAGTAGCTTGATTAACAGCCTTACGTTTACTACTACAATAATACTACTTCATTAACGCCCACCAGTTAACCAACATTAGTCCAAACCTTTGCTTACTCACTAAAGTAAATAAACATGACTTTTCACCAAAGCTTCACAATTGTTACCTTTTACTAAGGCACTAACTATATCTGCTTCTTTATCAAAATGCTTTAAACAAAGAAAATAAAGACAATGTTTTTGATTTTAAAAGTTTATTAACGATTAATTTTATTTAATAAAAATGACGATTCTATCACAAAGTTTTGTTCTATTAGAATGTATTATTTTCCTCTGCGAGGACCTGAAGTTATCTTTAATGAAATTTTCATTGATAAAGATAAAGATGGGATTATTATTGCAAAGTAACTTAATCGATATTGATATTATATAAAGCTTTTGCGTAAATTTCCCCCGATCACGTATCGCATTATTAAAGAAATGTTCAAGTTTAGTAGCTCCCCGGGAACAACTAATGAAACAAAGGAGAGATTGGAATACGCAAGGAAATAAAAAAAAAAGACCCTGGAATACATATTTATGTTTTTTTTTATATATATAACCTTTAAAGCAGTTTTATTTACGTCATTTTTTGACGTGATAGTTTTACACAACTTTGGTCAAACAACATCAATCCCATCACTTTTAAAGCCCATGCTTCGAAAATTAAAAAAAACCTAAACAAATGTATAAGAAGACCGTAATTTTTGTTGCATAATTTTATTGGTTTCAGACAAGGACAATGATTTTCGGCAGTGAATATTGCAAAACAAACGACCATCAAGTTTTCGGCACTTGACCAATTCTGCCCAAACCTGACATTTCTGCGGCTTTCTGCTTAACACCGAAAACCATTGTCTCTGGGTTTAGGAAGATAATAATAGAGTGATGCTTATATCATTATACATTATTATTATAGTTAGATGCCTTATATCGAATCTATTGTCGTAGGATGGCGGCGTAAATATAAACTGAGCTGTCAATATTATGGCAGTAAAACGAGATCTAACTGAACTGTATTTAAATTGTAGTACAGCTAGCTACAAACTCTTGGTGTTACGTTTTGTAAAGTATGATTGGCCAAGATTAATATCATATCTCATCAAAATCGATTCAATTATATATTAATATTAATATAATATAATTTTTAAAAAATGTCAGTTACTACTACTACCACCATTACGACAACTTTTTCATCAGAAATATTGCCATGGACGTTAATCATAATAACACTTTATTTTACACAATTTTACTTTAAATATTTTAACAGATCATATCCACTACCAGGTCCTTTACCTTTACCGATCGTAGGCAATAAACTTCAATATCGTGGTAATCCTGCCACTTGGTCAAAAGATTTATACTCAAAGTATGGAGATATTTGTGAGCTTTATATGGGAAGCGAAAGACAAATTTGGATATCAAGGGGTGATTTGGCTGCCAAAATCTTTAGTCCCTTAGCGAGCAACAATTTTCTCATACGCATAACACCAAACCAAGGATTGGACGAGATTGATATGACAACTAAAGGCTTGACATTTAATCTTAACGTGAACAATTGGTATTTTAATCGACAATTCTTCAATAAGGCCATCACATCACCAAAATTCATTAAACAAGCAATTGTTTGGACACAAAGTTTATTCGTTGAAATGGAAAATTATTGGGTGGAATTGAAAGAAGAACAGAAACAAGGAAGAGGAGGAGGAGGAGGAGAAGTTAAGGCAGATGTTGACGTTATGGTAGTAAATATATCAGAATGGATAGTTAGATTCATAATGGAAGTTGTGGTAATGATGACTACCAATAAACGAGTACATTCAATGGCAAACTATTATCATAATAAGCTTGCCACCAACAAAATGCCTAAACAATCTGATATAGTGCTTCAAGAGTCTGAAGAATTGATAAAAAATATTCATAGCTGGCTAGTTGGATTACAGTTTTTCATGGATACATCTGAATTTTCACGCAAGTTTATACCAAGCGCTAAACAAAAAGCCGAAGAATTGAGAGCAGAGATTGATAAATTGAATAACACCTTTTTGAATTATGTTGAAGAGCGTAGATCAGAGATTGATAATACTAGTCCGGAGGAATTGTTAACACCTGATATTTTAACAATGTTGTTGACAGTTAATACATCTCGTGATATTACTTCAAATATCAGAGATGATCAACATACAAGACCATTAACTGATGATGAAATTCGTGGTAATTTACTGGAAGTAATTGGAGCTGGTATTGATACTGTGAGTCAAAAAACTAGTTTTTTGAAATATAATTTATTTATATTACCTTAAATTAATAAATGAAATTAACACTAACACTTTTAATATTAATATTAATATTAATTAATCACCCATTCACCCATAAACCAACAACCAATAATCAATCAATCAATCAATCAATCAATCAATCAATCAATCAATCAATCAATTCATTTATCCATTATATTTTTAATAGACAGCAAATACTTTTGCATTCATAGTGTATCATGTAGCACATTATCCTGAAGTGAAGAAACAAATGTTAGAAGAATTAAATCAAGTATTCAACGGTGATCCAGACAGACCAATCACGTACGAAGATATAAATAAGTTAACTTATTGTGATGCTATTATTAAAGAAGGTAATTGATTATGTATATTTATAATTCATATATAAATATAATTAACATATTCATATTTCTATTATATATGTAAATGTTTTAGTGTCTCGTCTAATGTCAATCGTGCCAATTATTTTTCGAACATCTATTCAAGATGACACAATAGCAGGTAAAACAATTCCAGCGTCAACACAATTCATGATAAACACGCCAATGATACACAGACATCCACTGCAATGGCGTGATGCTGAAAAATTTGATCCATCACGATTTCTAAATAAAACCACACCAAAACATTCTTTTTTGATGTTTGGTAATGGACTTCGAATGTGTCCAGGCAAACAATTGGCCATGTCACAAATCAAAACTTTAATTTGTCTATTATATATGAAATATGATGTTGAATTGGAGGATATGAATGCTCCATTGAAATTTCATTATAGTATTGTCAAACATTGTGATGATTTGAAAATTAGGATTAAACCTAGAATATTTGGAAAGAAGAATAATGACTGTTGGGTGCCTGTCAGAACATAAACAGTTAACATAAGAAAGAAATTATTATATAGTGATGCAATGTTTTTTTGCCTTTTTTTTTTGTCTTATTTGTATGATTATCATTATTTTTTTTATTTGAATAACATGTTTCCTATTCTTATTCCTATTCCTAAGCTCAAGCTACTTGCTCAAAAATTTCACTTTTGAAAAAAAAGTTTTTTGTAAATTATTTTTAATTTGTTTAATTTTGTAATATCATTACTTTAATAATAGCGTTTTATTAATGCAACATTCTGATTGCATTACTCAATCCATGCAAAAATTGCAAGTCTAGTTATTTCAATTTATTATTCATCTGATATTTCTTCTTCACTACCGTTCTTTACTGTTTTCTTTTTTTTCCTTCTCTTTCTCTTCTTTTTAGTATCGCGATTATCTATATCTGTTAAAGAAATAATTTAAAATTAGTAAATATGCTAATATATATATGCACACACACATATGTAATATATATAAAAATTAATAATACTTTTATTGTTATCATCTTCAATTCCATCGTCTGAATGTTTACGTTTATTATTATTATTATTATTGTTATTATTCAATTCCTTTGATTCAAAAAGTTAATTAAAAATTAATTTTTTAATGAATTAATTTGTCTAAAAGAATAAGTATTATTTTAATTACTTGTTGTATATCATTATTAGCCATCTTTATTTCATTACCACCACCTCCACCAACATTTACTAGTTTATTATTTTTATTTTTATTGTTCTTTTTTTCATCAGATTTTAGAATTGATTGTTGTTGTGAGGTTATAGAATTTTTCTTTTTCTTTTTACAACTTAAAGGATTTGGTTGTTTGGGACCTTTGCGCTTATTTTTCTTTTTTTCTTCTGATCCGTCCATTGTTGATTTTTTCAACAATAATATATCGGAATTGGCATTTGTCAAAAATGAAATTTCTTCGTTTGATGGTTTTGTTTTTTCCATTTCAATCTATACTTGATGTTAAATTTATATTTTAATGCCATCATTATTATTGTTATTATTATTCAAACAATATAACATATTAATATATAATTACTTGTTTAGATTTTTCCAATGTTATACGTGAGGCTGGTTCAATTATTAAAACTGATCTCTTAATATATAATAATGGAACACCTGGAACATTACGAAACAACTCGCGAAGTGAATCATTTTGAGTCGCGACACAATAATTATGAGGATTATCCTTTTCTAAAAAGATATATAATATCATAAACATTTGTCATTGCTTGAAAAGTGATCAAAAATGAAAACATTTTGCGTAAAATTTGATTGATACATCCACCTACCTATAATTGAAGCTAAACATTCTGCGCTAGACACAGGTTTACGTTGATGAAAACAATTACGTCTTTCAAGTTGTATTAATGCATCCTCTGTACCAAACTCATCTTTTCCTCCTTGTTTTCTTAATTCATTTAAAGTACAAGACGTGTACACTTTTTTATTTTATTTGCATAGATAAAATTGGTTAATATTTTAACATTGATGAAAAAGGGATAGAGGAAATGGATTAAAAATCAAAACCTCGGCTATTTACCTACTTTGTTTAGTATTTCCCATCATAACATTATTTAACTGTTTACATATATCCATTTTATAACGTAAAGCTATATTTATAAAATCATAATCAACTTTTAAAAAAAAAATAAAAAATCAATTAATGATAATTCTCATATATAAATTTCATCATTGTCTTTCTTTGTTATCAACACTTAATACTTACTTACCTAATACTTGATAAGGTTCTCTGAATCCATAAGAAATATTATATAATGTCATAAGACGTTTATACTGTTTTGCTCTTTTTGGTCGCATTTTTTATTTTGAAAAAAAAATCGGTGTGACATCGTGAAAATCGGCGGCATTTTCATATCCTGGTCACAAATCAGGTTTTTTTAGTTTGTTTTTTTTTTGATTTTTTGAAAAAATGAATTCAAGGTTTTTACCACATGTTTTTATTTTATTTTATTTCTTTAATAATGTTACAATCAACATCATCAAGTCAAAAATTTTCTTTTTTTATCAAGTGATGGAATAAGACTGTCAGTGAAAATCAGAGATGAATATAGTCATGTTAAAGAATTACCTGCTGCTTTGATATCTCAACAAAGTGCACCTGGTTAGTAAGTAATAAACCTGTAGTCATTTATTTGATAATTATTAAACATGTTTTTTATATTTATGAACATATGATTTGAATTATAGACAATGTTTCATCAGCTATTAATATTACACAGCCTACAACCACTACAACCGCCACAACTGCTACAACCACTACGACGGCTATAACTACTATAGCCGCTACAAAGACCACAACTCCTATAACAGCTTCAGGCTCTTTGATAAGACGTAAAATACCAAAAGTTCAAAAACCTGAATGGCATGCACCCTGGAAATTAATGAGAGTTATCAGTGGGCATTTAGGTTGGGTGAGATCAATTGCATTGGAACCTGGTAACAAATGGTTTGTAACCGGTGCCGGTGATCGTACCATTAAGGTGAAACTATATATATATATATATATATTTATTTATTTTTAATCAAATTTTTTTAAATTTCGGGGAGTTTTTTTTTAAAAAAAGAATTTTTAATTTTTTAATAGATTTGGGATCTTGCATCAGGTACTTTAAAACTTACCTTGACAGGCCATATCTCCACGGTTCGCGGTCTAGCAGTATCACCGCGTCATCCTTATTTATTTTCATGCGGTGAAGATAAAATGGTAAAGTGTTGGGATCTTGAACAAAATAAAGTTATCCGACATTATCATGGTCATTTATCTGGAGTTTACTCTTTAAGTTTACACCCTACTTTAGACGTACTGGTGACAGCTGGACGAGATGCTTCTGCTAGAGTAATTTATATTTTTTCTTTTTTTTTTTTATTGTAATTATCCTTTCCTTATCTTAAATCCTATAAAAAAAATATTTTTCTGAAGGTATGGGATATGCGTACAAAACAATGTATTCATGTTCTTACTGGACATAGCACAACTGTGGCAGATGTTAAATGTCAAGAAGCTGATCCACAAGTAATCACTGGTTCTATGGATTCAACAATTCGCTTGTGGGATTTGGCTGCTGGCAAAACTTTAGCAACATTAACACATCATAAAAAATCAGTTAGAGCTATTACCACACATCCTAGAGAATTTTCTTTTGCTAGTGCCAGTGCTGATAATATTAAACAATGGAAATGTCCTGATGGTTTATTTGTTAGAAATTTTGAAGGGCATAATGCAATAATTAACACATTAGCTGTTAATGAAGATAATGTTTTATTTTCTGGAGGTAAAAAAGAAAAAAAAAATTTTTTTTTTTAAATAATATATTTATTACATACATATGTTGATTATATACAAAACACATTTTTTTTATTTTATTTAGCCGATAATGGTTCAATGTCATTTTGGGATTGGAATTCAGGACATAAGTTTCAATCATTGGAAACAACCGTTCAACCTGGTTCTTTAGAATCCGAAGCTGGAATATTTGCTTCTGCTTTTGATCGAACGGGATTAAGGTTGATTACTTGTGAAGCAGATAAAACCATTAAAATCTGGAAAGAGGATCCAGAGGCTGTACAAAATTCTGATGACATTTAAAATAAAAAAAAATGTGTTAAGATTGTGTGAACGTTGATCGATTTTTAAAGATAGAATTTTCAAAAATAATCGTTTTAATAATTTTAATAACTAGTTGGCCACCCATTTTTGGCGATGCATTCTTCTACTCTTCTGGGTACATTATCAATTAATCTTAAATATTTTTCGCGTGGAATTTGTTGCCATTCTTTTCTCAAAAATTTTCCTAGTTCATCTTTATTTTTGGATGTGTGGGACGTCTTTTAATCCTCTACTATGTTCATCCCATAGGTGTGCAATTGGATTAAGATCTGGAAATTGAGGAGGCCAATTTTCCATAATTCTTTTCTTACCTTTTTTCCGGATAACCATTTTATCACATTTTTAGTCGAGGTGCGTTATCATCTTTAATGAATAGCAACAAGTCATTCTCTAAAATATTTATATATTATTTATGGTTGGTTCACTATCTCTTCTACTCTCGCCAATTTTCCTAATGCTTTAGCTGTAAAACTATGATTCTTCCCCTGCCATGCTTTATCGTAGGTGACAAATTTTCAATACTAAAACGAGTCTCATTTTCGCGCCAAATTCATCCATCACTACCAAATATTGTAAATCGATACTCCTCCCCCATTATCTGCTTTATTGTACAGTTTCGCCGATAAATACACCATTCAAGTCGTTTTTGACGTTGAGTTTCTGCAGTACGAGAATTTAAAACCAAATTTATATAGGTTGTTTTAATCGAAACATTTAAGCTAGTGGATTGGGTCAAGAGAACTTTTATATCACTAGAGTAGCTCTATTATTATTAATAACAATTTCTTTTAAGGCATTTTTTTATCGTCGTCAAGCAATTTTGGTCTACTGTTTTTTTTTGCTTAATGGTGTTCAGAATTCCATAACGCTGAATTGTATTTTCCACAGCTCACTCACCAATTTCTTTTCTTGTATTGTATGACCACCTTTGAAAAGACCAATTTTCGGTAATCAAAAAGTTACATAGTGAATTGTTTCATATCTTTAATAGCCATGTTCCTTGACCTCTTAATATTATTTAATATTAATATTATTATTAATGATTATACGAAAAGCAAAAACGATACCAATTGTTGATTTATTATCATTCAATTTTCTATAATAAATATCTAACGAGACACTAAAGTCCTGCTCTGCGCTTTGTACACATTTTACATAAAATAATAAAAGTCGCATTTCTATAAAACAATAAAATAAGATAATATACAAAAATAAGAATAGTATGATGATTAATAAAAATACTTCTTTAGAACCAACCATACCACGATGGGTATTCGATATTGGGTTGTTTGACAAGTCTAATTATATGGGGTGTGGACAATAGAAACAGACCATGTTGTGACCAATTAAGATATACGATCAAGAAAAAACATGAACGATGTATGAGAAAATCAAACAAATTTATTTAATAAAACAAAATTTACAACTCAAAAAATTTTTTTTTGTAATAAAATTCCATTATTAACTATTAACAATCCAATTATATAGATATTGAACCAACCAAGCCCGCTTATATAGTTATTGAATAATTGATAACAATAAAACATTAATTAAATATATTTTACAAACTGCTTCGTAGATCTCGACTTTAAGACTTACTTTGATCAAACCTGCCTATAACAATAAACGTTCATTTTGGAAACTTGATTTGCAAATAGATCTTGACTTTAACACTTACTTCTACCAAGCCCGCCTATATAATTACTTGAATAATTGATAAAGCGTTCATTAAATATATTTTACAAACAGATTCATAGATCTTGACTTTTAACACTTATTCCGATACAAGCTATTCAATATTTGATAAACGTTCATCAGTATATTTTACAAACTTGCTTTGGAAGCTTCGTATGTCGTCATACATCTTGTATTTAACAGTTTACTTTTTCTGTTTAATTTTATTTTTTATAGATTCGATGGACCATGTTATTGTAGGCGGAGTTCATTCTGAATGCTTTGTAGTTGACCTCCACATATTCGTGTTCTTCTACACGGCACACAGCCACCCCAATCACCGTATGTGTCCCACTGGCTGGCTTGATGAATATGGTTGACGACAAGATAGACGACATAGCAAATAATCAAAATTAAAGAAATACTATGCAAAAAGCAAGCAAGTAAAAAAGATTCGAAAGGCGAATTGGTTAGTTTTTTATTCATTTTTATTTATTTATACATCCCATATCAAAGGTCAATTTGATCGTTCAGATGTTTTTTTCAAGCCTACATCACCACAGAAGGATAAACTTTACAAATTTGATTGTTTTTTTAAAAAAAAAATCTTTTGTTTTGATCTTTTCTTTGTATTCATTTATTTTTATCCCAACTAAAGGTCAATTTGATCGATCAGATGTTTTTTTCAAGCCTACATCGCCATAAAAGAATAAATTACAATTGTTAAAAAAATCAACTAAGCTTTTTTTTCCTAATTAAAAGAAAAAAAGTTCCTTCGCAAAGAAGAACCCTCGTGTGAATCAAAAGCCATTTGCGAATTTCGATTGTTAAAATCTTTCGTCCTGATCTTTTCTTCGTGTTTTTTTTTCATCTATCGCTATAGAAGAATAAGCTTCATGCAAACATCAAATGTCATTTACAAGTTTCGATTGTTTTAAAAAAAATCAACAACTTTTTTTTTCTTAACCAAAAGGAAATCAGACCATCCACTATCCTTCAAATGGTCAAAATCAATCAAGTTTCTTATCCAGATCACCCACTATCTCTCTCAAATGGTCAAAATCCAAAAAAAAATTTAATTCAACACGAACAATCAAAAAAAGTTTGCACAAATTGTTTGTTTATCGATCATTTTTTTTTAAATTGACAACGAAATAAACCGTTTTTGAACCCCGGTCTCGTGACCAGAAAATATCACTAACACGTTGTGTGACAAGCCTTTGACGGTCCGAGATAAAGGTTCCAAGACAAGACCATCAGTTTTTGGTCATTTTGAACGGTCCGAAACGTCGAAGAAAGGCGAAGACCTAATGGTAGACAGCGGTCGACATCACGCAAAAAAATCTAAAGCGAAGCATGATTTCCTTTCAGTCAAATATATGTTTCGCTCAACCCTAACGTTTTGAACCAAAACAGATAACAATTGGAATTTCACACGGTACTGTGACGTAAAATAACCATAAACGTTTATCATTTTTTTGGAAAACGAAAATATTTCTGTTCAAATTTCAATTTTTATTAATTAATTAACAAAATTTCAAATCAATTTCAAGCCAGCGCAGCAAAGAAAAAAAAACGACTTATCACAAAGTTTTACCCTTTGACTTTTGATCTCATCCCTCCCAAAAATTCAGTTTACTAAAGTTGAGAAACAGGATGTTTAGAATATTCGTGCTGATTCGTGCTGATTCGTATCGTAACTGAACTGAATATTCTTTACAAATGAATGATTTCCCGTGCAACCAAACATTTCAAAATTGGGTAAGGTCGTTAAATTAGGGAAACATACAAAAAATACTGACAACATTTAGTAGGGCACCGTAACACGGAACCTTTTCTATTTTATATATGTTAAAAAACACCAAGTCGAGTTTATTTCATATTAATATATTTTTATATAATGTCACACACTAAACTATTATCATCGTTATCACCAGAAAGAAAGGAATTTGTATATAAAATTAATGCTGAAATGTGTAATAATGCAGTGATTAATAAATCTGGTAGAGAAAGTAGAAAAGATTATTTTTTTTCATTAGTCAAAAAAAACAAGGAGCTTTCTGAAAATGAAAAAGATTATTGCAGGGAAGACTTGATTTATAATTTTGAATTAATAAATGCAAAAGATAAATTGGGAAAACCAAAAGAATGTAACAAGTGTAAATTGACAAGATACTCTGATAGGTTCTGTGAAGGTTGTATTAGTTTACAATTGCAGAGTCTTTTCACCACTTGGACATCTGGAAATAACATAGTTGACAACTTTATTCAACAATGTCAAATGAAATCATCTCTGCCTAATTGTATTTTAGAATGGATACCTTTTGAGCAATTTGAAGATATAACAAAATTAACTGAAGGTGGACTTAGTTCAATTTATAAAGCTACATGGACAAGAGGAAGTATTGATGATTATGATGAAGATAAAAAAGAATTAAGTTATTTAAGAGAAGGACAACTAGTAGTATTAAAAAGTTTAAATGATTCAAGTAATCCAGGATAAAGCTTTTTTGATGAGGTTGGTAGTTGTCATTTAAAACAAAATAAACAATACTGTATTATACAATACTAATTGACTTTATACCCAATAGGCAATAAATTATTGTAAAATTAAATCAGCAAGGATTATTCCTTGCCTTGGTATAACTAAATTTCCAGATAATGGAAATTATGCAATAGTTTTAGTTTATGCTCAAGAGGGAAATTTAAGGGATT